TCTAGGAGTTTTCTGATGGAATTTTTGAGATTTCTTATGTATTATATCATATCATCTGCAAACAGGTGTAATTTGACCTCTTATTTTCTAATTAGTGCTTCTTTAATTTCCTTCTATTGTTTTATTGCTCTAGCAAGAGTTTCAAGTACTACATTGAAAAAGGAGTGGAAATAGTGGACATTCTTGTCTGGTTCCTGATTTTAATGTGAATTCTTCCAGTTTTGCTCCATTTAGAAAGACACTGGCTATGAATTTAATGCAAATTGCTTTAATTATATTGAGGTATGTTCCCTCAAGTTCAGTTCCCTCTAGAACCTTTAATATTAATGCAGGTTGGAATTTGTCAAAACTCTTTTCTGCATCTATTGAGATGACCATGTGATTTTTGTCTTTAATTCCATTTATATGTTTTATTACATTTATTGATTTATATATATTGAACCATCCCTGCATCTCTAGAATAAGGGTGACTTGATCATGGTGCGTGACCTTTCTGATGTGTGTCTGTATGCAGTTTGGAAAGTATTTTGTTGAGAATCTTTGAACGTATGTTCATTAAGGATAAAGGCCTATATCTTTTTGTTGTTGTGACTTTCCCTGGTTTGGGTACTGGAATGATGCGGCTTCACTGAAGGGCTTGGGAGTTCTCCTTCTGATTCTATTGTTTTTGAATAATTTAAGCAGTGTTGATTGTGGATCTTCTTTCAGTGTATGGTAGAGTTCTGCTGTGAATGCATCTGGCCTGGCCTTTTTTGTTTGGGGAGGTTTTATATTGCTGTTTCAATTTCCTTATTTGTTATCTGTTTAAGCTGTTGATCTCTTCTTGATTATTTTTGGTGGCTTACATGAATTTAGAAATTCATCCATTTCTTTTAGATTTTCAAGTTTAATAGAGCATAGGTTTATAAAGTATTCCTTTATAATGACTTTTTGGTGCCTGTTGAGAGGTTCCCCCTTTCATCTCTGATTTTGTTAATTTGCTTTAGCTCTTTCTTTTGGTTAACTCAGATAAGGATCTGTCTATCTTCTTTAACTTTTCAAAGAACCAGCTCTTAGATTGGTTAATTCTTTGTATTTTTTTTCCATTTTCCTTATTTCTGCTCTGATTTTTATTATTTCTTCTCATCTACTAGATTTGGGTTTAATTTATTCTTGCCTTTCCAGAATCTTGAGTTATACTGTTAAGTCACTTATATGTGCTCTTTCCAATTTTTAAAATTCTTTATTGAGTTTTATAATTTCATTCAGCAGTTCTTAATCAAATTTAGACCCCTCCCCCATCCATGCCCCCCCACTCCCCCAGAAAACCTCATACATTCCTCTAGTCAAGCATTTGTACCCAAATGTCCTTCAGTGTAAGTTCATTCCCCGGAGTCTAGTCTAGATCTTATGTAAGGTATACTTTTCCTCATCCAGCATTGATCAGTCTCCAGTAGTTCTCAGTCTAGGGCCAGCTTCCACCCATTTCTCTCTTCCCCTCTGGACCCTTGTTTAATTGAGTTGGCATGAGTCTGGTATTCAGTGCCACCATTACCACAAGTTCACATGTGCAAGCTTCCTTCCAGTGACCTGAAAGCCTGTCCTTCCCTGTGTTCATGAACCAGCCCTGGCTCTTCCAAACTTTTCAATGTCTCTTCCATAGTGGTCCCTGAGCCAAGTTGTGTGTGAAGTTCAATATAGGAGTCCCATCCAAGGATATACACTTTGCATTCTCTTATTCTTTAAAACTTGGCCAGTTGTGGCCTTCTGTTTGCATCCCTCTTAGGACTGCTTTGAAAACATCCCAGAGGTTTTGTTGTGTTGTATTATCATTTTCATTTAGTTTCAGGAATACTTTTGTTTATTAATTTCTTCTTTGATCCATTCATCATTCAGGACTATGTTTTTCAATCTCCATGAGTTCGTGTAGTTATTAAAGCTTCTTTTGCTTTTCATAATAAGCTTTGTTGCATTGTGCGCTAACAGAATGTATATAATTATTTCAATTTTTGAATTTGTTGAGGTTTGTTCTGTGCCATACTATGTGGTCAATTTTAGAGAAAATTCCATGGGCTGCTGAACAGAACGTATATTCTTTGGTGGTTGGGTGGAATATTCAGTAGATGTCTCCTAGGTTTATTTAATATATGATACCATTTAATTCATATGTCTATTTATTCTTTGCCTGGTTGACCTGTCTATTGGAGACAGTAGGGTATTGAAGTTACTACTATTACTGAGTCAGGGTTAATCTATGTTTTATACTTCTGCAGTACTGTTTTTATGAAATTGGTTTCACTAGAGTTTGGTGTATATATGTTCCTGATTATAATATCTTTTTGGTCAACTGTTCCTTTTATTAGAGTGAAGTGACCCTCTTTATCTCTTCTGATTAGTTTTAGTTTGAAGTCTATTTTCCCAGATATTAGAATTGCAACACCTGCTTGCTTCTTAGTACCATTTACTTGGAACATTTTGTTCCATCCTTTCACTCTGAGGTAGTGCCTATTCTTACAGGTGAGATTAGTTTCTGGAAGACAACAAAAGATTGATTTTGTTTCTTCATCCATTCCACTAGTCTGTGTCTTTTGATTACAGAGTTAAGGCCATTGATATTTATAGTTATTATTTTAAAATATATATTTGTTATTGTCATTTGAATCTATTTGTGATCTTGGTCTTAGTTTGTGTTTCTGTAATTATACCTTCTTTTTTCTTTTTGTAACCTCTTGGGTATAGTAATTCCTGATTTTTGTATTGATTTGAGCATTCTCTGTAGGGCTGGATGGTGGACATGAATTTTTCAGCCTATTTGTTTCATCCTATTCTGGGTTGGCATCCATGGTCACATAGAACTGGGAATACTTTGTTCCAGGCTCTTCTGGCTTTCATAGTTTGCTTTGAAAAGTCAGCTGTAATTCTGATGGATTTTTCTTTGTAAGCAACTTGCTATTTTTCTCTAGCAGCTTTCTGTACCCTCTGTTCTGTACATTTAGTGTTTTTGCTATGATGTGCCATGGGGAGTTTCTGTTATGGTCCTACCTAATTGGTGTTCTGTGTGCTTCTTGACTCTGAATAGGTATCTTTCCTTAATTTAAGGAAGTTTTCTTCTACAATCCTTTTGAAGATCTGGTCAATGCCATTGACCTGAAAGTCTTCTCCCTCTTATATGTTTATGATGGATAGATTTGATCTTTCCATGCTGTCCCACATTTCCTACTTTATTCCATTACTGTATTTAAAAAAAGTCATGGTCTTTACTTGAGCAATCGAGTTCTTCAACTTCTTCATTCATTCTTGATATTCTGTTTCGCATTGCATTTGTTCTGCTTGTGAGGCTTTCTTCTGCCATTTCACACTGACTTACTGAGTTTTTCAATTCCATCTTCATTTTAGTTTGGGTTTTCTTCAATATTTCTCTCTCTTTTGCAAATTCATTTTTCAGGTCCTGAAGTGTTTTATTTCATTCAGCTCTGTATTGTATTTTCTTGAGCTTCAGCCATGAGTTCATGCCCATCCTCTTTGAGTTCTTTGAGTTGTTCATATGTTCTTTAAGTTGTTTGACCATGTTTTGATTGTTCTTTTAAATTCTCAGTCGTGGGATTCCCCTGGGTGATTCTTATTGTAGTACACTTCTGTAGGACTGGTGGATTTTGCTGAGGACATATTCTCTTGGTTTTTCATATGATTTGTGTTTTTGCATTGTCCTTAGACATATAGATGACTTTTTTGGTTGTGTGTCTGATATGAAATTCCATTCTGCCTTTGTTTACTTGCAGTTATATTGTTGATGTATCTTGGTTGCTTTTTGCTCAGGGATGAAACATTAGTTTGTGTGTGCATCATGTTCTTATAGTAGGCAGGTCTGTGGCATTCAGATTAGGAGGGGACCTAAGGACAAGTTTGGGGTGGGGACAGCATAGGGAGGGCTTAGCAAACTAGAAAGGGTAGGTGTGAGCCATGAAACTTGAGAATTAAGCTAGTCTGGGTGCAGAGGACCAGTATGCAGTGGGCACAATAGAGGTTAGGAAACTAGTCCCGAGATCTGAGTCAGGAAGAGCAGGAGTGGGCCTTGGCCCAAGGCTAGAAGGGGATCACGGTGTGGGGAGAGGGTGGAACAGCTCAGGGCAGATCTGGGTGTAGGAGCATCAAGGCACAGTGAGTAGGGTCTGCCTTACCAGAGTAGCATGCAGGTCTGTGGCAGGCAGATCAAGAGGAGGCAGGGTGGGGATAACCTATGGAGGATCTAAAAAACTGCAGATTATGTGTGGGTCGTGTAGCTGGAGAAAACATCTAGTCTGATTGCAGGGGATCAAGACATAGTGGGCAGGGTCTGGACTAAGAGACTAGTCCAGAAATCTGAGGTAAGAAGAGAGGGAGAGGGCCTAGGCCCAAGGCTAGAAGGGAGACAGTGTGGTGAGAGAGTGGAGCTGCTCAGGGTTCATGGGAAACAAGGCACAGTGGGCAGGATCTGACTGAAGAGGGTAGCAGGCAGGTCTACGGCAGGCAGATCGGGAAGCCAAAGGCAAGATGGGGGTGGGGACAGCCTAACAAACTAAACTCGAGAATTGAGTTTGTCTGGGTGCAGGAGATCAGGACACAGTGGATGGGTCTGTTAGGAAGCTAGTCCAGGGAACTGAGGCCAAAAGCACAGGAGCAGACCTTGGAGCAAGGGCAGCTTACTACTGGCTATACCCCACCCCAACAGCTAGTAAATATCAATAACCCTTCATGGAAGAATGGGGCCTCAGGGGCCCTTGCTCTATCCAAGATGCATGCTCAGGGTCCTAGTCTTGTGCACATTGTGCAGATAACCACAGCTGCAGTGTGTTCATGAGCACAATGACCATGTCACATCCAGAAGGCAGCTTTTTGCTGCACCTCTCCGCATGCTCTTTCTCTTATACTCTTTCTACCCCCTCTTCCAAGATGTTCCCCTGAGCCTTGACGAGGAGGACACAGCTGTCACATTAGGGCCCAGCTCTCTACTACCACTTATTCTCTGTACTTTGATCAGCTATGGAAACATGGAAAAGTCCATGAATTTGCATGTTGTGCCTGTGCAGAGACCATGCTAATCTTCTCTGTTTCATTCCCATTTTAGTGTAGGTGCAGCTAACATGAACATCAATTCACTTTTCATGATAATATTGCAAAACTATTATTTCACAGGAGCTATTAAAGAGAGATACACTGTAAACGCAGTGGAGGAGGAAAAGGAAAATACAAATGAAATTTCGCTGAATATCATAAAGAAGTGAGTGATTAGTGATTTTTCTTTTGCTTTGGCTTTAGAAATAGTTATTGGTTCCAGAAATTGAATGCTTTAAGTCAGTTCTTTCCTCAGCATCCATGCACAATGAGGGCCATAGAAACAATGACTTCCTCAGGCTGAGAATCTTGTTTTCAAGACAGAATAGAAGCTCAACAAAAAGGCATATGAGTGTGTCCACCCTGTTGTGGAAAGAGAGAAAAGAGAGAGGATGAAAAACTAAGGCATTCATTTCATATAGTCTTTATCTCAAAAGCACTCTTGAGTCTGAGCATACCTGGCTTGAGACTGAAGCCTGCCCTGCTCATCTTTCCTGGTAGGAAGCTTGTACATTAAAAGGAGGAAAACCTGGCTGACAGAATTGCCTGATGATCTGAGTTCAGTTTCCAAGCTCTATATGTTAGAAGGAGAGAGCCAGTTCCTGTAAAGTTTGTCCTTTGACTTGTCATTTTTCTCAACAAATCCTCATTAATTGCTTTTTAGGCTTTCATTGTTAGGATGAACTTTTTAGCATCAAAATAGTAAGTTGACAGAAACTGCAAATAGCTTCTCCCCATATTTGTGTGGTGCCTCACAGAATCAGACTATGGTCTTGTTGGTGGTTGGCATTATGTGTCAAGGCTTATAGTTGGGTTTGTTTTCTCAACCAGTTAAAGAAGTAAAAGGAAAGAAAAATCTCAGACCATCAGAGAAGAAGAAGCAAAGAAACCTTTATTGAAAAATAATCACATCTGTACACATAACAAATCACGTGTACACACGTTCACACTGAGAAAGATAAAGTTCTCCACAAGCAGAGAGGGGGGATTCAGAAAGTGCAAATCCAAAGCCCCTTCTGGAGAATCTGGATTTTAGGGCTTTTAGTGTTTTCCCCACCTCAATTTTGTTTTTTTTAATATTTTATTTATTATTTTTATTTTATATTTATGAATACATTGCCTTCATGTAGATAGGTGCACCCATGTTGTACAATGCCCAAGGAAATCAGAAGAGAGGGTCAGATCCCCTGGAACTGGAGTTATGGATGGTTGTTAGCCTCCATATGGGTGCTGGAAATTGAACCCAGGTCTTCTGCAAGTGCTCTTAACTACTGAGTCATCTCTTTACCTCAGCCTCCCCTAATTTTGGATTGGTCAACTTAAAGAAGACTACTGGGTTTATGACTCCAAATGATGAGGTGTCCAGGGCTATGTGACTCTAAGCAAGTTAACTGAAGGGGTCTTGTTTGAGTTAAAAAAATAAAGCCTTGCTACCAGACCAAGAAGAGGCAGAAAGTGTGCCATCTTTATGACTTCTCAGTCACCCTCTCTGCTTATTAAGAATTTAGTCCCTTATGATCAAATGAAAATTCAATGAAATTCAGCAGATACTGTGACCTTTAGATTGTGACAAGAAATAATGACTCAGAAAGATTAATTTGCTCAAGGTAACACAGACAGCAAAAAGTGAGAGAGGATCTCAAACCTGACGTATAAGGATGTCACTATAATACTTATTTACTAGTTTATGATGCCTGATTTTAAAAATATTTTATTAATTCATTGATAACTTCATAAAATGCATTATGATCATATTTTCCTTTCCTTCAACTACTCACATACACACTCCACTTTCCCTACCTACCAACTTCATGTCCATTCTTCCCTCTATTGAGTCTAGTATGTATTATCCAAATACTCATGGCTGTAGAACCTGGTCTATAATTATGGTCAAACAAGGGCAAGGGTCACACCCTCAGAGAAAAATGACTCTTTTTGTCGTAGCAGCTACTAAATGCCAGTAGGTCCTCAACTAGGGGTGGGATCTCCTACCTACCTCTCCCCTCCACGCTAGGATTTTGTATGGATTGAGCTTGGGTAGGTCTTATGCAAGCCGTTACAAATGCTGTGAGTTCATAATTTTTAAAGCAAAGCTGCAATAATAATGAGGATAACACAGAACATAATCTTGCTTTGTGATCAGTCCTGTCAACACTTGTAGATTTTATGGTTAAAAAAAAGAAAGCATAGTGGAGTTGTTTACACACCAGCAACATTTTGCATGAATTATCTGTCATCACTCCCTCAATAATCTCTTTAATTGCTGTTGTGCTGCCATTGTATCCAAATTAAAACATTCCCTCCAGGAGGTAGAGGTACGCTCAGAAGACTCAGGGAACAAAGGAAACTTGCAAGGCTCAGGAAGCTACTGAAATTTACAAGATCGACAATACCCACCCCCAAGGTTACACAAGCAGCAAATTAATGCAGAGTGGAGACTGTTCAATGCACCTTCCTTCAAACTGATCAGGAATCTGTAGAGGCAGCTTTTGAGTCACTGCCCATGCTGGGCTTGGCTTTCCAGTGATGAAATTGCTTTTCCATGGGCCGTGTTCCTAAAAGTAACCTCGGAAAACTCATCGGTTCCCTAAGATGGACTTGGGTAGAATCATTTCTTTGGTCTGTCATTGCTGTCCTATCTGAAGTGAGTAGACATTGTTCACCTTTCCACAGAATAGTCACACAACTATGTCTGACTTTGTCCTGGTGTTGACGATGTGCAGAGAAAATGGTATTTTAGGTACACAGCTTGAAGCAGTGGTAATAGGAAGACAGAGGCTAGGACCTGCTGGGCTGGAGAAACATCTCACTCCAAGTGTTTTCTCTGCTCTGTCCTCAATTGGCCTCCTTTGCAGGGGACCAGAGGTGCATTGGTAGGCTCACAGGTATACATGAACCTATGTTCTCTGCTACATCTGATTTTAATGCCTCACTTCTTAGTATTTTGCCTTTTCCAAGTGGAAAATCGATTTTTTTCTCATTTGCCTAACCTTTGCTCTAGAAATTGGAGTATGAAGGATTTTCTGTCTATCTTCCACCTCCAGAAAATGAGGTAATCACACACTGAGGCCCATTTGGCTCCATACCAGCTGTGAGTTTTCCTGAGGATTTTAATGTTCCTCATGAACACCTGGACCTGTGTCTGGGTTTCTTACAATGAGGAATTCCCAAGCTAAAGTAACTCAAACAAACCTGTGAAATTTTTCACCTCGTGAAGCCAAAACACACATGCATTACACAGAGGTGAGACGCCAAGAATACAGACTCCCAGAGATTCTGGGGTTGTTTGAACACACTCTTATTTCTCCATCTGATCTTGCTTTTTGTTTCTGTTTTTTTTTTTTCTTTCCTGCATTAGTTATCTTCTCTGCATTGCAAACATGGTCTTTCCAAGGCATGAAAAAGTGACTGCAAGAAGCTCATTGCTTACACAGTAGCAAAGGAGGAAGGAGCCATTCCAATTTATGTAAGTAGAGATTCCCAGGAAGGACCCCTGGAATCCAGTTTGGATTATACATACATCCTTTCAGGAAGCACTATGGCAGGGGGATGGCGCTAGGGCCTCAGCCTTGTGCCTGAGGCTGTTCAGAGCACAGACCATCACTGGAGAAAAAAGTAGGGGCTGCTGCCATCAATTAAATGAGCAGCATCCCCTGAGGCATCCTTTACTCATCTTGTTGCTGTGAGCAAATACTGGACAAGAAGCGACCTAAGGGAGGGAGGGTTTACTTTTGGCTTACCGTTCCATAGCAGGCATAGCATGGAGTCTGGCTCCATCCGTGGTGGTGAGACCTCATAGCACAGCTTGTCACATTTCCATGGATCAGGAAGCAAAGCCTCCTACAACCCTCTAACCCCACCTTCACAGCTCTACCTCTACCAGTTAGGCCCCATGCCCAAAAGGTTCCACAACCTCCAGAAACAGCGCCACCAGCTGGGTATCAAGTGTCCAAACAACATAAACCTGTTGGGGGAACATTCCACATTCAAATCATAAGGATTCTGAAGCACAGTAGGAGATGACTCATAGAAAGCTCTAGTTGTCTCCTTTGGAAGACAAAAAGAGCTCCCAAAGACATCCATCCACATCGTTATCAAGATAACCTATGCATATGCAACTTTATATAGCAGGGATGTGTTAAGGTTGAAGATGGGATTAATTTTGCTAAGCTACTTACTATAAAAACTAAGGAGATTATATTGTATCATCCATTTGGACCCAACAGTCAAAACTTTCTTAAAAGTGCACATAGAGGCCAGAAGAGAGGGTCAGATAAAGTTTTATGATAATGGATACAGGTTAAGGAGATGTGAGGTTGCTAACTTTTACATTGGAAGAAGGGAGGATGAGCCAAGGTCTGTTGCTAGCATCTTAAGGCTATAACAGGAAATGAAACATCTTTCCTGGAGTTCAAGAAAGAGCACCATACATAACATGTTGAATTTCTGCAATCAGACACATCAGTCTTCTGTTCTGTCTTTTGACCAGGCTTCGGAACCGTTAGAGGAGAAGCATGTGTTGATTGAAGCCAAATGAAAGACAATTTCCTTACCTTTAATTAAACATGTGTTTAGTGAGAAATTGGCTTGTGGCATGCTTAGAGATTGAGGAGAGGCTCATAGTTGCAGCAAAGAATAAGAAGATGCAACACTTTCTGTCCTGGAGATTGATTTGGGCCTCAGACATGGGAGGCTTATGTGTTTAAGAAACCACCACGCTCTGCATGCATCTACTGGAATAACAAGACACACTTGGCTGCTTATGAAACGTGAGCTGTGGTGCCTGGACACATGTAAAACTCAAGCTTGTTTGACTCAGTTTTGATGAACACCCTCGGAGAAGGAGATGGGCTGAAGTACATAGTTCACACTGTGTTCCTGCAATTCTAGAGTCAGAGTGAAGGTTTGGACTCAAAAGACTGGGGACTCAAGGTTCGCTGAAGTCATTTATTAGGTGGTTGACATAGGTGGGGCCTGTAAATTCTCTAGGACTTTTATTATCCATGAAAGGAGAGTAGGAGAACAGGCTAGTTTC